GCCCGGGGGGCACGGGGACGGTCTCACCCGCCTCTTCCCCGGGCTCCCGCCCCGGCCCTTTGGGCACGTCGGGCAGGTCTGTGTCCCGGCTGCCCGGGCGGTGGGCGGGGGAGAGCCCCGGGGTCGGGGTGCCCGGGCCGGCACCGCCCGGTGTCCCCCGGCTCTGCTTTCCCCGGGCCGGGGCCGAGTGTGGTCTCGTCCGTGTGCCCCACGTGTCCGACTCCGGCCTCCCACGGCTTTGCGGGGCGGGTGCCAGCTCCGCGTCACACGTGGGGTTGATTTCTGACATCCCCCCACCACCACCTCCCCGTCACTCCTTCTGCCAGGGCCAGCGCGGTGGGATGCCGGGCCTCCGCCGGCTCCGCCGGTGCCCGCAGGTGCCCGTGGGGTTCTCCGGGCATCCCCCCGCGCTGCCGGGCAGGACGGGCGGCTGCAGGGCCGGCACGGGGAGCGGCGGCGAGCGAGGCCCCAGCAGAGCCCCCTTCCAAAAGCGGCCACTCCATGAGCCGAGACCCTCACCCCGGGGCTGGGACACCCGCTGGCCCCACGTGGATGCGCTTCGCGAGCGGCTCCCGCCTCCCCCAGCGCCCTGTGCGCAGCGGGACTCGCCGGGGCTCTGCGCGAGTGGGTGTGGGGTGACCCGCACAGGGATTACCCCAGCACGCTGCTGCTCAGCCCCCGGGCAGGGGACACATGTGGCGGGGGGCGGTTCCCATGGATGGGCCTGACCCTGGAAGGGGCTCCTGCGCCTCTTAATGGCCCAGCTGGGCTCTTGCAGCCGTGGCAGGGGCAGACCCCAGCCACATCCCCCCCCATGCGGGGGTCTGCCGTCGGGGGCGCAGGTCTGGCACCCCCGTGGGGTGCCCAGGAGCTCGACTCAGCCTTGCCCACGCTGGGGGAAAGCAGAGGCCGAGCGGGGCTGCGGGGCCAGCGTGGGCTGCGGTCCTGCGCGCTCGGGGAGCTGCCCCCGGGAACGGGGCTCCGCATCTGCGGAGACACTGGCGGGGCACGTCCGTAGCCCCGGCTCCGGGGCTCCCGGGGGCGAGGGGAGGCTGCCCTCGCTCGGCGCCCCGCCGGCAGCGCTCCCTCCGCAGAGCCTGGGGCCGTGCTGCCGCCGGACGGGAGAAGCCTGAACTGCACCGGCTGCTCCCTCCCGTCCCGTCCTATCCCGCCCCGTCCCGTCCCGTTCCGTTCCGCCGGGATGCTGGGGCCGAGGGCCCGCGGCGGGGCGGCCGGCCGCGAGAGCGGGGAGCGGGGGGGGTCCGTCCACTCCCAGCGGGGCGCGGGGACCCTCTCCTGGCCCCTTCGAGGGTGCCGGCCTGGGAAAACCATGACCTGGCGGCAGCGGCTGGCAGGGGGCCACAGGCCGCCACGGGAGCGACGTGCTGCGTGGGCTGTGCTTGGCCAGGCTGCGGCGGCTGGCGGGGCCGGGGGGCCCGGTGCCAGCCCTGCCTGCACCGGGGACGCATCCTGCCTGGTGCACGACCCCCAGAGGAGGCACACGGGCCTGACAGTGCCCATCGCAGCCCCTTGCCACGGGACGGCAAGTGCAGGGTGGCATCTGATGCGGCAACAGGGACTTGGGGACCATTCCCAGAGATGCTGGGGGGACTGGGGAAACTGTATTTGTCTCCTTGTCCCAGCGGTGCCCAGCTGTGTCCCTTCATTTTTTGGCCAGGAGCACTCTCCTTAGCGTGTCCCATCCCAGCTTTGCTACAGAAGCACCTGGGACGTGCCGGGGCAAAGCCATGGAGGGGACGGGGGAACTCCCTGCTGCAGACTGCCACCGAGCTCCGAGGGGACAGTCCTGTCCCAAGAGTCAGGGAATGCAGCAGACGGGCCAAGGAGGGTTCAAGCCACCTTGGGAGCCACCTCTGGGGGATCCTGGCTTGGGACACCCTGGGGGAGCTGGGGAAGGAGGTGCAACATGTGGCTGCAGACTGGGAGTTGCCCCTGCACCTCCTGGGGGACATCCCTCCCCTGAGCCCGTGCTTGCAGTTCCACTGGGACCATGCATGGCGGGGACCAAATTCCCCTGTGTGTGTGGGGGCAGCGGATGCTGGGCAGTGGTGTTGGGGTGAATGACTACAGCAAGCCCAGTGTGGTGCCCCACACCCCACCATGGCCCCACGGGACCTGCCTGCCCCTCACAGCCCCACTCACCCGGGCTGCTCTGGGGCTGCATGTCCCAGCTCGGCGCAGGCAGTGGGCTGGGGAGCCGGCGCAGGCAGTGGGCTGGGGAGCCAGCACAGGGCCAGGGGGGTGGCTGCACCCGAGGACCCTGCGCTAATGGATTTGGAGTTTCCAAGGTCAGGCTCCCACCGCGAGCAAGAAAAACATTCCCAGGGAAGGGCCATGGGAAAAGGGCCCCCCCCGCAGCGCTCCCAGCCCCAGCCGCTGCCTCACGGCCCAGCTTGGCATCCCGGGCCGCTCGCATGAGGCGGTGGCTGCATCCCCCTGAGGAGAGGTGCTGGGCAAAGGCTGGGCCGACCCAGCCGCCAAATCTCTTGGAAGGGGTGCGCGGGGTGGCGAGGATGCCTGGCTCTGTGGGGAAGGGATGGGGGAGGGGATCATGCATGGGGTGCAGGAGGTGTTGCGGGATGCTGGGGGGGTGAGGGAGAGGATGGCATGCTTGGCAGGGGCAGGGGAGAGGTGTGCCAGCTCCCAGCCGGCCAGCTCGATGTCTACCCCATCCCCTCTGCGTGGATGCTGACCCACACCTCTGCACTTGCAGCCAGCATGGAGCAGCGAGCAGAGCCACCAGAGCTGAGACCTGCAGGACCCACCACGCACCCGCAGCCCAAGGTGAGCCCAGGCCTGGCTGGCCGCGATGGCTGGGACCACACGTCCCCGTCCCCAGCTCATGGAGCCTCGTCCCTGGTGTGGGGACCCCGGTCAGGGCTCACCCCGCTGTGCTGTGCTTTGTCGCAGGAGGGGACGCTGTGGGGGCTCCTCGCCATCCTCTCGCTGCTGGCCGGGCTGGCCGCGGGCAACCTGCGAACGCCGCACTGCAACGAGACGCTGGACACGGCCCCCACGCCGCGGGGCATGGCCACCGCCAGCCCAGCTGTGGAGGATGGCGTGGAGGTACCGCTCGCCGCTGCCTGGAGCCAGCTGTACGGTGTGTGTTGGGGCAGGACCCCCAGCCTGGGCACGGTAGCCCTGAGTGTGGGGCACGGGCGGGTTGGGAGCTGCTGTGGTGAGCCCCAGCCTGTGCAGGGCTGCCTCTGCACATCGGGGCCTGGCTGGGGGGGACTGAACACATGGGGCCCCCTGCTTCATACCAGGGATGGTGGCAGAGCCCTGGGGATGAGAAGATGCTTGGCCGGGTGCCCACCCACCCCACTGCCCCACGGCCACCCGGCCAGTGCCGTGGTGGGTGGTCAGGAGGGGTCTGCAGGTCACAGCGGGAGGACAGGCAGGCTAGGCAGGCCCCAGGAGGGTGGCGGGTGCGGGATGGGGTCTGACAGTGCCGTCCCCTCTGCGTGCAGGGGACAATGCGACGACGGGTGGCCCTGGCGCCGCGGAGCTGGCGGAGGACCTGCTGCTGCGTGCCGAGCGCTCACCGCCGGGTGCCGGCAAAGGCAAGAAAGGGATGCGGAAACCCTCACGGGGGACCCGTGGGCGCAACTGCCACATCCGCAACCTGATGGTGAAGGTGCGCGACCTGGGCCTGGGCTTCAACTCGGACGAGATCGTGCTCTTCAAGTACTGCAGCGGGTCCTGCCACCGGGCGCGCAGCAACTACGACCTGACGCTGGGCAGCCTGCTGCGGCAGCAGCTCATCGCCCCAGGGCCGCAGGAGCGGGTCCTCAGCCACCCCTGCTGCCGGCCCACCCGCTACGAGGCCGTCTCCTTCATGGACGTGCAGAACACGTGGCAGACGGTGGAGAAGCTCTCGGCAGCCGAGTGCAGCTGCATCGGCTGAGGAGGGGGCCGCCGGCTCGGCCCCAGCTTGACGCACGCCAGCAGACCCCAGCTTGCCACACGCAGTGGCACCGGCGCTCAGAGGAAGGGTCTGGCAGAGGCTGGTGCCCCCGGTTTTACATGGCCACAAGGGACAGAGGCGAGATGGAGCTGTGAACGGTGGGGGGGGGTTGGGTGGCTGAGCCCCCTCCCGCTCAGTGCCAAGCAGCTAGTGCCGACAGCTACCTGGGGTCCTGCCCAGGTGCACCCCAGCTCAGCCCTGGAAGAGGAGCTGGAGGGGGTATGGAGCATCCTCACTGCTCGCAGGGGTCTGCCAGCCCGGTGTCCACCAGCAGCGCCTGGCTCGCCTGTGCCCTGCCTGGACTGGTGCTCCCGCACCCCTGCTTTAGGGGAGCCGGGGCCAAGTGTCACCCAAGCTTCAGAGGGGGAGAGAAAGGGGGCAAAACCCCCCTGTCCCCTCGGGCACCCTGGGCTGGCGGTGGCCGGAGCTGCGCTGCAGGGAGGGGGTGTCCCCAAGGACAGGGGTGCAGCGGGGCCAAATTGCACCAGCGTGGGGTGGGGGCCCCACACCTGGGCTGACAGCAGCCCCCGGTGCTCTGCAGGACGGCAGGGCATGGACACCCGCCGGGACCCCTGCCCAGCTCCCAGGGGGGTGGCAGGGTGCCCCCGCTGCCCCCGCGGTGCTGCGGCACTAAACTATTTATTACTCTAAATTATTTATTTATTGTTCTCGAGCGGCAGCTCCTATTTATGACTTTGGGCCCCCGGGGGCCGGGTGTAATTTAACCCCAGCGCTGCTGTGAAGCCCTGGGCAGCGCCCCGGCGCCCCGTGCCCCCAGCCCCCTTTTTCTATTATTTGTAAAATTTGAGGGATAAACTCTATTTTTGTACAGTCGCCTTTTCCTGTAGCAATAAAGCGATGGGCTGCGTGTCCAGCCCCTGCCTGTGCCCATGATGGTGGGGGGGGGTGGGGCGAGGGGTGCCCGGCGTCTTTGCCACCCGTGGGCTGGCAGCGCGAGGGTGGGAAGCGGGTCTCCTGCCGGAGCAGGGGCGGCGCTCGGTGCCGGTGCCCGGTAGGGGGCACGCGTGGGCCGGGACTACCGTTCCCGGCGTGCGGCGCGGCGCTGCGGCAGGTCCCGGGTTGCCCGGCCGCGCCTGCGGGACGGCGG